TAAAGGTATAAAACTAATAAGTAAAAACAATCGACGTCATATAATTATTAAGTATTCCTAGTTTCAAAATTGAATTGAGATTTTTAATTTTTTCTTATATTTCCAAAGAATAAATAAATCTAGAGCTATTAGGTAGTATATAAATGTAATATTAGATAAAAACATGGAAAAAATTACACTGTGCAATTTTATAACAAAAGTGTATATATATCTACAGTTCTAAAAATTACAAAATAGTAGTTCCTATACAATAATATGATTTTAAGGAAAGAATTGCTTGCCCTAGTGGGTGCCTTGAGCTTATATTTATAATAAATAATGTTTAAAGAATTACAAAATAACCCCCTCAATTTACATTATTAGTTCTAACTACGCTTGTTGCAAAAACTAGAACTAGATAAGTAACTGGACAATGAAATAAGCATAATAATTAAAAAATTATATGACCAAACAAGGGTAGTGGATAAAAAGTTACTTAGTTATTAAAATAATTAAATATGTCTAATTTTTACAATTAGAGTGATCTAAAAATGTACTCATAGTGACATTAGTCAAAAAAGATCCTTATTCTTATGCTAGTACTCGTAATATTTTAGAAAAAAACTCATGATAATAATAGTAGTATTACTATATTAATAATAGTAATATAATGTAATAATATAATAACAATCGTCAAGTTAATGTTAGCATAATCATTTTGTAAATTAATGTTGTAAAGGATGTTGTGGGAAACTTCAAAGGGGTACATTGATGGTGTGGGGTAACTGGGTGAGATAGGTTTGCACCTAGCACTAGCAAATACGAGTATTGTGCTCCGTATGTGAATTTTTATTCTCATTTTTTCCCACACCGGTTGCAAAGGATGTTCATCCTCCTAATTGCCCTATAAAAGAATTGCTCCTCACGCACATTAAACCAATTGCATGCTCAGCTTTATGCACTGGGGGTATGTGAGGCTTTTGGCATAAACCTTGAGCTTGAGCTGCATTTTAGGGTGGGCTGCACAACACTTTTAGGGTGGGCTAGATACCAAAGCTATACCCATATTAATAAAAAAAATGGGCTGGGCTGGGCTGAAGCCCACCCCTGCCCCTTCATAGATTCGCCCCTGACTCCGACTCTGATGTTGAAGCTTGTTTTGTGTGTTGGGAACCCTAAGATTGGCAGATTTTATCATGAGTTTAAAATGCGGACGACAACATTGCCCGGCAGTGGCGGATATGGAAAAATGAATTATTTAGAGCATAATCTTTTCATTTTGGAACGGTCCCAAAGGATATGGTCTAATAGATACCGTCATACCAACCACTACGAAGTACCAACCGGTTCAAATAATATATAAAAAAAAGACGACCATACCAATTGCGTGGAATATTGCGTAAGTTGCAATATTTAAAATATTTTTTATTAATAATTAAAATAAAGAAAAACTATATGGAAAATAACTAAATTCATCATGTATAGTAATTTCATCTAATACCACCAAAAAAGAAGCTCCAAACTTATTTTTTCTTATTATTATTCAACGTACAAAATAAAAAATTATGTACTTGATAAAAAAATTGGTTGATAAACCAAAAACTAAAGTCACCAAACATGCTCTAAAAATTTTCATTTATAATTATGTTCTCACAGTGTAAAGTTCTTTGGCTCAACATGGATATCCACTATCATATAAATATTATCTAGACCTAGATGAATATAATATGTGGTACCGGAAATATCGGGTGGTCCCCGCTGCCGGTTTGGGCCCCACGTGAATTCTACTATTCACGTAAAAAAAAAGAAATGAGAAAAATTTACAACCACGTAAAATTCATTACTCATTCCTCAAGGTTCAATAATCAATACATAACTTAATAAAAGTAAATATGCTTGAGAACGGTGTTACAAGTTCACCCCCAGTTAGGATTTCGTCCCCGAAATCCACGTGTCTAGTCGAACAAAAATGGATATTGATCTCTCATCAGGGTTTCCACTTCCCAAGTTTTCTCCTCGACGCGATCACTTTTCTAAAGCACTTTTACCATTGGTACTTCTTTGCTTCTTAGTTTCTTCACCTGCCGGTCTATGATCTTCACCGGTTGCACCTTATAGTGCAAATCTTCAAATATTTCTACCGACGGTTTCTCAAGAATATGTGACGGGTCCTGATGATCCCTTTCCAAGGTGACACCTTTAGAAAAACTTCGTCACCGACCTCAAACTCCAACGCCCTCCGACGTTTATCTGCATAGCTCTTTGCCGATCTTGGACAGCCTTGAGTCTATCCTGAATAACGTTTACCTTCTCCTTGGTGATCTCAACTATCTCAGTGCCCTCAAGCTAGCTTAGCCTTGTCGACCTCATTCCAATACAGAGGTGTTCGACATTTCCTCCCATACAATGCCTCGTATGGAGGCATGTCTATACTCGCATGATAACTATTGTTATTGGCGAATTCCACTAAAGCCAGTTGGTTGTCCCAACTTCCTTGGAATTCCAAGGCACATGCCCTCAACATGTCTTCCAAAATCTGAATCACTCTTTCAGATTGCCCATCTCTTTGAGGATGAAATGATGTGCTAAACCTAAACTTTGTTCCCAAGGACTCCTGGAACTTAGGCCAAAACCGTGATGTGAACCGTTGGTCTCTATCCGATACTATGGTAATCGGAACCCCATGCAGTCTCACGATCTCATCTGTGTACAACTTGGCCAACCGCTCTAGCGTGTAGGTAGTATTGATAGGTAAGAAATGAACAATGTTTTTCAACTTGTCAACCACCACCCGTACCGCATCATAGTTCCTAACCGTCCGTGGCAGTCCCACCACGAAGTCCATAGTAATGTGTTCCCACTTCTCGTCGGCGCCATCTGTCGGCTCTGCCTACTGCTGTATCCCTAGGGTTGGTACATCACCCAACAATTTATAACAATTTTCAACCTACTGCCACTACAACATTTGGGTGATACTGCCGGCTCTGCCTACTACCGCGCGCATCCCTTGGGTGATACTTTTGGGTGATACATTGGCGGCAATTCCCTTGAATAACAAAAGTCATTTTGTTGGTGACTGATCAGTTTAATGATGACGACCAGTGGTGGATCCAAAAAAAATACTTATTGGGGGAATAATAATATCGATTAAAATAAATATATATGGATTATTAAATACTATATGTGGAATATTAAATACGGACATATGAGTAAGTCGTCCCAAATTCGGATCCACCATAATTTATGTAAGTTTTAGCTTACTTTTCGTGTAAAATAAAAATAAAAATAATCACAAAAATTTGATTAAAATAAAAATTGTTTACAAAAGTGTGAATAATTACTAGAATAGTAATGGAATCATAGTGACTTATGTTTAATTTCGCAACTTAAATTATCATGACATTACATTGTAGTAACTATTAGTCATATTTGTGTAAATAAATTTTATTTTAGTAATATTTTTGAAAAATCCCCAAAATAATATTGGCGAATTTCTACTAATCTTGAATAATTGTATGGAGCTCTAATTGTAGAACTAAGAGGGTTTTCAAAAATATTACTGAAATAATATTTATTTACAAAATATGAAAAATAGTTATCATAGTATAATCTCATAGTCACTTAAGTGTAAAAATTGAACATAAGTTAATATGACTAAAATATTACTATAATCACCACACTTGTGATGTCACGTTTTATAAATAAAATTTATTTTAGTCATATATATGTAAATGTTTCATATAACGGTCAATACAGAGTATAATATAAGAAGGCTAGATCCATAATAATCATTTGTATTTCATAAATTCACTTAATTAGAAATGAAAATGAAAACATCATGAGCCAAGTAGTACATTATTACTTCAATTCATTAGCTAAATTAAATATAGTTTTATTTAATTTAATTTAATACCTTATTTTGCCACCACAATTCCTCAAAAATTTGGTCATTTTAACTTTGTACAATTAGATTTATATAAGATAATTAACACATTTTTAGTCATTCATATGATACAACGTAACATCACACAAATATCTATTGGGGGCATGAGAAAAATTTAATGGGGGCAAACTCTTCCTTTTAAAATTAAAATTGCAGAAAATACTATATTATTAATACATTATTCAAAGCTTATTGGGGGCATGTGCCCCCACTATCAATAAGGTAGATCCGCCCCTGATGACGACGATGAACTCCGGTGATGGAGGCAGGCAAGTAGATCGGTAACGACGATCTAGGTGAAAATTCTGACGACGACAGTGACAGTCTGGGTTTAAAAGTCTATGAACTTTTTGAAAGTCTATAAACTTATCCATGTATTTAAAAGTAAATAGAATTCATTCATAAAAAGTCTATGGATTTAAAAGACTATGGATTAAAAAAAGTCCACCACAATTCATATTCAATATACTCATACTTATTTTTGGTGAATTTTCTCTTTTGAAATTCAACGATATTTTTATTCATTCTGTTACATATAAGTTATGACTATGCTTAAATAAATAGTTGGATTTTTTCTTTTGAAATTCAATGATACTTTTATTCCTCTAAATACTACCTATGTCTCTTATTTAAGTTCAAGGCTGGATTTTCACGGTTTTCGATATCGACGTTTGACCATGGATATAAAAAAATATACATTTATAAAGCTTATAAAAAACTAACATTTCAAAACTATACATTAAAGTGAAGTATTTAAAATTATTCTGGTATTATAAAATAATAATATTTTTGAATAATTAAAAGTCAAAGTTAACAATGTTTGACTCAAAAAGTCAAAGTATGAACTGAACTTAATTGTGGAATAGAGGGAGTACTACATAAGAGTAAGTATCGTCATGTTTATAAAACCTACCAATTCTACTTAGATGTTTTTATTGTTGGTTGCATATCTACTGAAAACATTTAAATTTATCACTTTATAGTTTTTTAAGAATAAAATCAGAGCTACAATAATATAAAATGAATTTGTTGGATAATTGATACTCATATTATTTAAACAGGAGAGATTGAACAAGGATGTAGAAGAAATAATGAAAGTGTATAGAATGAATGAATATTTGTTATGGTTTACAAGCCTCCTATAAGGAGTATATATAGGGAAAATCCGGGTCTGAGCCTCTAATATGGGCCTGACAGACTCGATTATATAAATGGACTGATAGTATAAAAAGCTAATCTAGAACATCTTAATAATAATAATGTACAATAATATGAATCCGCTAAACGTGTGTGGGCCGCTGTCCAGGCCCAGTAGTCGACATACCGGGGGGTCAGAGTCCATATACTCCATCAGGAGTCCCCCACTCCCTGAATTGAGAGTACTCGAGGCGAAAGGGAGTAATCCAAACTGAATCTGCAACGTTCTTCTGTCTTTGGTTTCTTCCTTTTCGGTCGGGGGACCACCACCCTTGTCCATGATGGGAGGTGTCTCGTTAAAAACCTTTACTAGGAAAAAACCCAGTGGGAAAATCCTAATAAAGGGAAAAAGAGTACACCTAGCGCCCCCAACATGAAATAAGGAAGGCAGGCCCCCTCCGGCATAATCACTTTTGTCTAGCTCAACCCGTCTTCATCTGACTCATCTCTCGTTCCTGCTCATGCGTGATATTTTCTCCTCATCTAGAAACTCTGACCCCTCAGTCCCTCAGTCCCAACACTTTGAGGCGAGTGGAGACGAGGTGAAAATGAGTAAAGTCATCTTTGTACCTACACATTTAACATACATATAAATTTTTTCCTTGGGATTTATGTTCTTGATCGGGAGTTCATCACTTGAAACAAGTGGAGATGTGAATTGTTAATGTAATGATAAAATACTTAGTCGAATGGATGTGTGAGCCATTTGTAAGAAACGGTCGCCACTCGAGGAATGACTAAGACCGGTCTTCGTGCCCGACTTGGTCGGGGCTTTGTCTTAGTGCCCGTCGGGGCTTTGTGCCTGATCGTGATCAGGGCTTTAAATCCTAGTGATGGGTCTCAAGCCACACTCTACTAGGCATTTGATAAGTGCGTGATAGTGTGATATTTAACCGACAAAAAAATGATTTAATTAAATACAAATAATATTAAAATTAAATATACTTATCTTTTTGAAGTGGGCTGAAATTAATGGGCTGAGATTGACTGTGTTGCTGAAATTGGCCCGTTGTAGAGCTGGATTTGAGCACAAGGTGATCCAACCCACTGTTGCTACTTGACCCAAAACATCCATGGCCTTTTACTCCAGCCTCTGTACGTCCGAACCCCCCAAAACTTGAGATCTACGGCCGCCGGAAATGGAGGCTCAAGAGAGACGACTCCCGGTCGACGAGGCTGGATGGAGGAGATTGCGCCCATTCATGATTGTTGTCAGAGAGGGAGAAGAAACCATTGATGTTGCTGTTGCCTGGGTCGTGAATAGAGAGCTCTCACACAGCCATTAATGGCGGACGAAGACCATCGAGCTACTGCAACAGATCATTGAGACAGCGCTGCGACCAGGAGCAAGGCAAGAGAAGGCATTGAGGCGGCGCTGCGACCGCTGAGATGGCGTTGAGACGGCGCTGCGACCAGATCTTCGTTGCTCTCAGGAGCTCCAAGGCGGCCATTAATGGTGAAAACAAGCGAAGGCCAGCAAGATGAAGAGCAAGCTGCGACCAGAAGCTTCGAGTGACGCCTTAGGAGGCTGTGACTGTTCCGATTGACCAACTCTACTGACCAGGGAGTTCAGATCTGAACGAAACCTCAGGTCGCGGGGTGCTCTAGGCCACCGGTTCGCAAGGACCTTCGTTGCTCTGTCCGCAATAACCTCGGGCAACCACGATACTGAACCAACGGCGTAAACAAGAGCTGAAGTTGTGCGGGGAATGGCTGGTGGCAGCATCCGGCGAATGTGTTCTTGGCAGCTACATCCTCCTTCCCGGATCTGGATTTTCCAGATTTCTTAATTATTTTTTGATTTTCAGAATGATTTTTGACTGATTTCTTCATTTTGGATGAATTTTTGGTTTTTTTGGGAGGTTTTCTCACTTGATTGTGTGCAAACCTCTCAACGAGAGCACCATTGTTGGATAATTGATACCCATATTGTTTAAACAGGAGAGATTGAACAAGGATGTAAAAGAAATAATGAAAGTGTATAGAATGAATGAATATTTGTTATGGTTTACAAGCCTCCTATAAGGAGTATATATAGGGAAAATCCGGGTCTGGGCCTCTAATATGAGCCTGACAGACCCGATTATATAAATGGATTGATAGTATAAAAAGCTAATCTAGAACATCTTAATAATAATGTACAATAATATGAATCCGCTAAACGTGTGTGGGTCGCTGTCCAGACCCAGTAGTCGGCATACCAGGGGGTCGGAGTCCATATACTCCATCACAATTATTCGTATTTTTAAAATATGTATTAAAAACCTTCTAAAAGTAAAATTAAATATTTTTTGAATGACATGTCAAAGAATTAGAGAAAACCTATTAGTCAGAGTTGTTTCATTGTCAAACAGGTATTGGACTCGGGCCGCCGGTTTTGAATAGATGGGCCCGGGACCGACCCGGGTACCCACCGGGTCCGGTCCGGGTCGGGCCTATTATCAATTTTTTCCCCTCTTCCTAATTAACCCCCCTCCCACCCCAACCCCCAAACCACCCCAAATGACCCAAAATACCCAGCACAATCCGAAAATTGAAAAAAAATTGAAAAAAAAAATCAATTTTGGCCCGAACTGGGCCCAGGCCCGGTCGGCCCGGGCTTTGTTTTGGGTGACCCGATCCCGGACCGGAATACCCACGGGTCGGGCCTACCCTTACCGGTCACTGACCGGGCCACCGGGTCGGGCCGGGCCAGAACAGTACCGGTCCCGGGCCGGTTCCGGGTCATTAATTAGTTACGAACTAAAAAAAACCAACATAAACTTTAGAGATGAAAAACCTAACAAAGAAATTTTTTTGCAAGGACCTAAAACATAGTGTGTAATATTTACAGAGACTAAAAACATATTTAAATCTAATCCAATTATCCAATACATTTATTAATTAAGTTACTCGCACAACAAAACACATATACGAGAGAGATTTAGCAATAACTCATATGAAAACTTTTAATCTCAATTTTTGATCATTTTATTCAATGATTGGTTCGTTTATGCATGATTAGTTGGAATTATTATAAAATAATGACAAAAAACGTCACCTTTTGTCCGATTCTAAAATTCTCACTTTTCTTTTTGATGGTTTCATATAAAGGTTCTCATTTCTATTTTAGGAAATAATTAACACTTTCAAATGACAATTTAATTATCAAATATTAAAAAATAATACCACGTACATCTATAACATATAGTAGAACATATAACCATATATCATTCACAAATATCTTTCTCATTTTAAAAGTGGTTTTTAAATATCTAGAACTCAACTTGCTTGTGGAAAATCATGCTAATCATAATAATTTGCTCTCAATGTTAAATACTCGAATGTGGTTTGAACTTTGTGTATGTGGTATAAATGTTTCGATTTCTATGTGATTTATTTATTCTACACATTCAGACTTGCATTTTTAAGCAATTAGTAGAACACCTGTGCAATCCACAGTAAGTGAAATGTGAGGGTACAATTTATTTCAGTCAAATTTGAGATAAAAATAAAATTTTAATTTTAATTAAATCAGTTAGAATTATACTTGTATAATACGGAGTAATAAAGTTTGACGTAAAATAAAATATGTTTTTATCAATGATTTACTATGTGAATATTTAACCGTGTCAGTTTACATTTAACCGTGTCATTCAGACATGCATTGACAATATAGAACTCAACTTGCTTGTGGAAAACCATGCTAATTATAATAATTTGCTCTTGATGTGGTATGTATTAAGCCGTCCCACACCGGTTACGTATAGAAATACAAACCAACATATAAAGTCTTAGGCTCCTCCTCCTAACAGGTTGACCTTTTAGGATGGAACCCCAAGTCTTAATATGGTATTAGAGCAAATTAAGCCCCAACGAGTAATTAGATCCTGGTAAGCCTCAATAACGAGCACACGAGCTACAAGATTGGTCTGCTTCAACGAGCAAGCACTCCTCCTAACAGGTTGGCCTTTTAGCATGAAACCCCAAGTCTTAATATGGTATCAGAGCAAATGATTTAATTAATATTGTATATAAATGGGATGAGTGCAATTAATCACGTGCTGGTTTTATTTTCGAGATCATTGTTGGGCTTTTGCCATAGCGCATGCCATTGAAGCTGTACACAACATGAAGAACCCAAAGAATATTAGAGAGCTTTCACCCCAGGACCTAGTAAATAATATGTCAACGGGATATGGCAAGAGTGTTACTCATTGAAAAAAATAGCTAAATGGGAAACCGAAAGGAAAGAGAAAAAAAGGCGGCAACGACATTTCTTCGATAAAAAACGTGTCATACCTTCGTGGCGAGAAGTGCGCAAATCATAAATATAGGGACAATGTAAGATTCCTATTCTTATGTTTAAAATCTCTCACATTTATATTCATCTATATGATACTAGTACAATTGTTTGTATTGTTATTTTCAAAGTTAGCTTCATTGATATTATATTACGTAGTACGAAGTATTATTATAATTATTACATGACTTATTAAGCACATTGTTATTTAGAAAGTGCATATTATGAATGAATATACTAGGTAATAATTTGTTTCTTGATACGCTTGAAGAATGATATCTACAAAGGACCAAAACATCAGACATCCACTAAGAAAAGTGAAGACACATTTAGACCACGCCGTTCTAATCATCGGTTATGGTGTTGACACGTACAATCAAGAATACTTCATTGTTAGGAACTCTCATGGAAGTGAGTGGGCCAATAAAGGGTATGGAAGAATATCGGCTAATAAAAGTATATTTAAGGCAATGGGTTATCCAATTATTGATTAGAAAAACATTCTTAGAAGTTGTACACAACATGAAGAACCCAAAGAACATTCAAGAGCTTTTACCCAGGATCTAGTAAATAATGTCTCAACAGGATATGGGGAGAGTGTTAGCTCATTGTAGAAAGTAGCTCAATGGCTAACCGAAAGGAAAGGGAAAAAAAGCGGCAACGACATTTCTTCGATAAAAAATGTGCCATACCTTCATGGCGAGAAGTGCGCAAATAATAAATATAGGAACAACGTAAGATTCCTATTTTTATGTTTAAAATCTTTTACATTTATGTACGTCTATATGATACTATATAATTTGATGTGATGATTATTTCACATTATATATATGCTACCTCCGTCATTAAATAATTGCAACATGTTGAATTTTTCACTATTCACATTGTCTACTTTAACTAGATTTTATTCACTAACGTATTATCAAATTAATTTTTAGATGTAGTATTAAGCCGGTTTGTATTAAGCTGTCCCACACCGGTTGCGTATAGGAATACAATCCAACATATAAAGCTTTGGGCTAATCCTCCTAATAGGTTGACCTTTTAGGATGAAACCCCAAGTCTTAATATGGTATCAGAGCAAATTAAGCTCCAACGAGTAATTAGATCCTGGTAAGCCTAAAAAACCAGCACACGGACTACTAGATTGGTCTGCTCCAACCAGCCAGCACTCCTCCCAACAGGTTGACCTTTTAGGATGGAACCTCAAGTCTTAATATGGTATCAGAGCAAATTAAGCTCCAACGAGTAATTAGATCCTGATAAGACTCAACAACGAGCACACAGACTACAAGATTGGTCTGCTCCAACGAGCCACCATCTTGCGGGGGCGTATTAAGATGTCTCACAACAGTTGCGTATATACATACAAATGAACTAATAAAGCCTTAATAAACTACTTCTCCTAACAAGTTGAACTTTTAAAATGGAACCTCAAGTCTTAATAGTTTGAACTTTTTGTATGTGATTGAAATGTTTCGATTTCTGTGTGATTTATATATTCAGACATGCACATATATTACGGATCACAGTATTAGTAAGTAATTACCGAGTAATTGTAAGAAGAAAAGGACAAACTATTACTCTATATGTATATACTCAGTATCCTAATGCTATTGGAACTAAACAGAGTCGAGCTAGAGTTGGTAATGTCTAGGGGAAGTACGTACTGCTTACTTTTCAGCCGACAGGCCTCTCCTGGCCTCTAGCAGCCAGAAAAACGCATAGACTCCGGGCCAGAGTTAACTTCATTATTCAACTCCAATTATATTTTACCATTAGCCGGCTGGAAGATCGATCTCATGGAGCCTATTATATTTATCTCCATATATTGCATCAAGCTAAGCTCCTAATATAATATTGTAAACCATTTCTTCTTTCTCTCCCTTGCCGGCCGGCCAACTTCGTGTCCCGTCCTAGACCACGCTCTTGTCCGCCCTTGACTTTTGTTGACTCATGCAGGTTTGACTGGATCCACTGTTACGCATGATCATCTTATTCAGAAGTGGCACTGCAATGAAATTCTCCATACTAAGTGGACTGCCCTCTCCATCTGGTCGCCATAGTCTTGACTCAAGCGAAGCTTGGTTGAATCCATCTTCAATTTTTTGATAAGCCACATATTAAGTGTTGTGCTTACATTTCTTAGTACTGCTATTATTCTTATTCTTATTAATATAGAGTAATAGTTTTGAGCAGAGTCGAAGGAAAAATGCCTGATGCACGTCACGCCGGTCATGAAGGATTGGAACTTAATAGAGTAAGTTGCCAAATTTATTTTTCTTTTTTATCTGAAATTGTTTTCGTAGTATTAGTTCCTTAATAATTATTAAGATCTATTAATACATTAATTTCATTATTTTTTCCATTTATTTTTTTACAGGACCCAGCCGTTGATTTGAGTCATTACTTACAAAGTCCAATAGGAAAACAAGAAGCCAATATGTTCTTTATCCCGTTACATTTAGGATTAATGTTTACGAAGTAATCCGTCTTATTTTAGTTTTCACAAAATTGCTCATAATAAATTTAAGCATGGATTTTATTCATTAAGGAATAATCTTTTATTCGTGGATTTTATACAAGCAATAAAAAATAGTCATGAAAAAATTTACTAGCTAGTTCTACTTTGGAAATGTGTGATGTATTAGAAGTTGTTCTCTTCGTCTAATCCGAATGTTTCTAATATGAATCTTTTAAGATCTGCTCTTATTTGATTT